TTATTATTTCACGTGAGTCTCAAATTAGAGGTATTTTACTACATTGAACGGCATTTAATGGTATCATCTTTTTTTATTCACACATTCACTAATTACAATTAAATACTTCTAAAAGTGTACATAAAAAAATGATAATATTCTATCTTTTTTTATTATTATTTTGAGATTAGCAATACGTTTTGACATATACTGAACATCCCAGAAAGCCTTGAAATATTTATTGCCACCGCGAGGAAGTGCTGGCAATATCATAATCACCACAAAATTAATCACTGATACCCCGAGCACCACAGGAAGAGATCATTTTTAACGTGACAAATGCTGGTGTTAAAAAAAACTACCACATATCATACACCCACGTATATGTTTTTAAAGTGCTCCCATTTAGCCCCATTCTGGAATGATTTTTTGTGCGGGGTAGTCGCAAAAAAACACGAAAAAGTTGATTTATCAGACTCAATTCTTCCATATGGACTTGTCAACTCACGCGATACCACAAAGCCTTAAGCTTGCCTTTGCTTACTTAGCGGCAAAGTATTTAATCTACAAATGTTACTTAGCTGAAGGAGCGCTACTTCCCTCGCCGATTAAAACTACACTTTTGCGAAGACATGATAACCGAAAGACACACTGCAATAAGATTTATACCTCCTAATCTTTTTAACGATAAATAACACTGTTTTATTGAGAAAAATTTGTTCCAGAAATTTCGCCTCTACCATTGTTTCCTCTTAGTGTAGCACAGTCGAAACTCCACCAACGGAGTTCTCTCCACAACGGCCATGCTTTTTTGTCCCGGCCAGCGCTCCATACATTCACTCTTATTTTAACCTCCGGCTCTCTGCAACGGCAACGGCCACTAAAGCGCGCCCCAGCTGCCAAAATTTCTTGACTAACGGCGTGTACAAAACCTCATTTTCGCGTTATAAAAGTGAGAAGCCATCCATATGAAATGTTCATGCAAATCAAATCATGCTCGCATGAAACGTTTTCCGTCACGAAGACTTGCTTTGAAACAGAGGAAGACGACAATGGAATGCCTCATTCAAGGAAAATGCACGACTTTCTAATTGCACGAAACTTCAGTAATATGATCGTGTAAGGTCAATCAGTTTTAAAAACCGTGGATAATGCTAGTTCCCATAAACTGACTGTAAATTCACTATTCCCTGAATTGTAGCAACAGCTGAAATATTTTGTCTTGTTACTGTTAGCGAACAGTAATTCAATAACACTTTTCCAAACTTTGCTCGAAAATTTTATATATTTGTACAACATACGATTAACTCTGCCAGTTAATTTGAGCCGATGAATTGAATACTTTTTGTGCAAAGTGGGTTTAAAAACTCAGAAATTTTGCAGTTTTTGAAAGGCAATTGTTTGGAGTCAATTCAAAGACATCTTGTAAGAACCCCACTCCCCCCTCCCCTTTAAATTACTTACATTTCCCACCCTCAGGCTGACGCAAGTAACCGGAACTGATGTTTCACTTCCTTAGCAAAGCACGCGAAATGGGCCCTTAAGGTCCAAAAATAACTAAGAGAAGAAACACAATTATGGTTTCTTGACTTTAAGAATTCGAAATTGTTGGGGAAAAAAGTTTCGTCCCCATCAAAAATCCCGTCATGGAAACTGAAAGCGAAAATCTAATTGCTAAATAGCAAATAACTTATCAAAGTCTGCCCAGGTTTGATTTACGTTAAACTTTGAACATCTGTTCTTGGGTCTATGTTATGGAGTGTCAAGAAGAGCGTAATTTCATTTATAATTTTATTA